ATCAAGGGGAGCATCTTACTAATACTGAATTTGATGAAGCATGTAATATAATACAAGAATTGGGTATTTTACAAGGTGGTGATAATCAAAATTTTTGAGTAATATAGTAAATTTCAGAAGCAAAAGCGGTATATTTAATAGCCATAATATGTGGAAAGTTGTAACTTCCATAAGAAACAATCAAATTTCGGCCTCAAGTTGGTGGAATGCATTTTGCCCACCTTGCCCATTAAGAGAAGTCGCTAATATTTTACTAACATTTCCTAGTTTGACTTCTTCTTCTGAAAGAAATTGGTCGGTTTGGGGCAATATTCACACAAAAAACAGAAATAGATTAAAGGCTTCTACAGCAGGAAAATTAGTAAGAGTGTATCATAATTTAAGATTGATTAAAAATATTAAAGAAAATAATGATATTGAATATGAATCGGAATAAGACTCTGCCACGGAGGGTGAAACATTGACTATAGAATGAATTAAAAAATATTATGATATTTATTATTATACATAGATTTATTATGATATTATATAAATGCAAAATAAAGTTAATATTGGTGTAAAAAACATTTATTTGAATTTGACCATATTTGACCGGTCAAATATCGGTCAATTGACCGAATTGTATTTGACCTGTCAAAAGCACAACCCTGTAAAATTCTAAATCCCAGCCACAGGCTGGCCCGCAAATTATTTTTTTTTTTAGCAATTTTCATATTTCTCCCACAATTTTTATATTACTCCCACAAAATACCGAATTTCTCCCACAATTTGAAAATTTTGACCTGGCAACCCTGCTTCTCATGGTGATTAAATTTTAACAATATTTTTATACTTATAACATAAATTAAACATCAATTTTTACAATAATCAATAAATGTTGATTTTTTTTTTATAATTTCCTTTTCAATGTAAGAATATTGATAATAATCCTAGCTAATATGAAGTTAATACATCCGTTAAGGAAGAAATTATTTAAATAATGATTATACAACACTTTTTAATGAATAAAACTAATTTTATAATGTCTTATAAAAAAAATCATTTCACTGCTAGAAAATTCATTAATTTCCATTATTACTTTAAAAATATATATTTTATTGACAAATTATTAAAAATTTTATAATCAAATAGGCAGTGATAAGGTTGCCATTATTCTAATATATGCAAACAATATAGACTAAGTTTGTAGAAATGATCAAGCAGAACATGGTTTAGGTAGGCTAGCATGCTGCCCCAGCATATGAATATGATATAGGGGACCTTAGCATTACATCAACAAAATATTTATTCTCATTTAGGCTTCTTTGTTATTATAGATTATGATGGGAAAGATATTAAAGAATAAAATAAAACATTTTGAGTTTGAAATATATTTAACTAATCACATTAAGCTATATGAATAATATTATTGGTGACAATTATATAAAAATTAAATTATACAAAATATATGTTTTTTTATATCGATAAAATATAATGTCAAGGACTTCGCTAAATTTTTTTGTTTGGACAGGCCATACTATTATTATAAGTAAGAAAGAGTTTATTTGCATAAAAGCTAGATGATTAAAAAAAATTTGATTTGATTACAAATTTGTGATACTTTTTGGCTAAAAATTTGCATAAATTATAAATGTTTAATCCTATGCTATATAAATATGTTTATCTAAAAATGTAGACACAACATATTATTGGAAAAAATATTGACTTAATATACTATTATTCAAAAAACAAAAGATGATAAAAAAATTGATGAAATTTCTGAAAGTCAAGGACATTGGAAACTAATTAAAAGCAAAATATTAAGGAAATTTTAGTTATAAAAATATTATTCTTGATATACTTTACTGGTTTAATTTGATAATATATTTATAAAAATGTTAAAAATTAATTCTCTATTCCTATGGGTAGGTATTATTTTATTTTATAAATATATAAGTGTTAAATAATAATGTTTAATAATATTAATTATAATGACAGATATTATTACTTTTGCATTCATTTCCTTGTCGAAGAATTCGCGTTGGATAGGCTGACCAACTTTAAAAAGCGTAAAAAAGAGACAGAAGCTAAATCTTAATTTTTACACAATTGATTTATAATTATTATTTTAAAAAAAATTTAATTATCCAATTATATTTTAATAATTTCTTATTTATATATCATTATCAATAAAAGAGGAATTAAACATAACATATATTGTAAACAAGGCGATATTTTTAAAAAAAATCTATTTGCATTGCTATAGGGATTATTTAGTTCCAATATGGTGTCCTTCTTCAGAAGCATCAGAACTTTTTTAATAGAAATATGGCGACCATTTTAACTTACCACTAAAATAGAAATAAACTCTATTTTTTAAAGTCTCATTATATTATTTCTGTTTAATAAGGATATCACGTGACTAAAAAACTGGGCTCTTATTTTAAGAATTTTTTTTTGTAAATAAAAAATTAAAAGAATCTTAGAATCCGTAAATTGTATAGGATTTTAGCTTGTTCTGAATATCGCGATGTTCCAGCCTAAGATCTCACGATTCATTTTATTATTTTGTGATTAGTTTAAATCTTAAAAGCCGGTGAGATTTAAATAACATGATACTTATCTCTCGCGCATATAAAGTATTTTTTTTATTTATGTGACATAGCGGAAAAGAAAGAAATATTGTTGTAATAGAACAAATTATCTTTGCATAATTTGCATTAAATTATTATATGCATTACTCTGCAATCACACTTAGCTCGAATTTTGCAATGGACATAGAGTTTTCAAAAATACAGCATATTTTGCATACTATACCGTGAACTCGTGCTAATGCAGGGTTCCTGCATTCACAGTTAAGGCGAATTCGTGGGGAAATATATGAAAATATGCAAAAATAAAACATATTTCGTAAAGTTTGTCGCTCATTAGTGCTATCTGTAAATGCTGGGTAACACCTCATTTACAGTTAACGTGTATTTGGCGGAGAATACAACAATGAAAGCGTATTTTTATAAAATTAACCGCGTATTTGCGCTAATTATGAATGAGAGGTTAGGCGAATCATATCATGAAACAAATTTTTTAAATTTGATTATGTAAATTAGAAGATAATTTAAGAAATCAAAGGGTTATATTTTTCTCGAGATGATGGCTATTTAGCACTATTATAACTTATAATTTTTTAATATCATTTTTTAATTTCTGGGGGAATCAAAAGATTTATTTTAAAGTTTAGAACGGAGAATGGAGATAAAATTAGACCATATCTAAAAGGAAATTTTGTCCAAGGGTATTAATTTTCTTTAGGTCCCTAAATTCTTCCGATTTCGTTATTTTTCTCTACTCTTGAAATGACACAAGAATTATTGACAGTAGCTTACTTTTGTAAAATTATGTTAGATAAATTTGGTCGATTCTAATAGGCTTTATTATAAATGGAAGTTGTAGGCTTTATAGGTGCTTACATCTACTTGGTTAAGCTTTTCTCCGAGATATTGAATTCTAATTCATAGCTCGAAGAGAACGGCTCCGCCATTCCAGAAGTGGATTCATTATTTTTTTTGCTAAACCTTATGTTTCTACGGCATTAGAAGGTATTTTTTTATCTTTCCAGATAAGGTCAAGCTGAAATACGTGAGGAATAAGATTTTTTTTTTCAAATCGGTTATATTTATGGTTTGTAACCAGAACCAGTTTATAAAATAATTCAGTAGAGTGGATATATATATATATACATTATTGATTTTTCTAAAATAGACATATTTTTTTAAAGATTAATAACATTGATTAGCACTACAAATGGTTTTTATTATTATAAGGCACAACTTGCTTTTCTAGATAACAGGAAGAATAATTAATTGTTCTTCAAGTTTAATCTTCAAGATTAAAGAAGTTTAATTTTAACCATGTAATTCGCGTTGACATAAAAAATATCCTAAAATTTTGATCTTATCTTCCCTCCAATTCGTATGAAGATTATGAATTAGGCGTTTTGTCGTATTGCGAAGATTGCCAAAAAAATCTCGAAGATTCTCAAAATTGTATTTGAAGTAATTATGAAAATTAAAGAGGTTAAAGATATATCGCAACAATTATCAACACTAAGAAAATTAAAAATTAAAGTATATATTATTTAATTTGCATATAATAATTAATTTTTTTTAGAAAACTAGGCAAAACAAAGAGTGCATATTTTATGGAGGATATGATTATGTCTTGCATAAACATGGAAAGAATGCTATATATTATACATGTAGAAGAAAATGTGGAGGAAGAGCTAAAATTTGTGGTACTGAATTTAGCATCACTGTAAAACATTTAGAAACATGCAAGCCAATTCAAAGTAAATAGTTATAAATATTTTACCATATATTATCCAATTAATATTCCAATTTAGATGATTCTCTAAGTCTAGCTTCTTGTTCTCAAGGTCCATCTGTGAACCTCCCTGTTCAAGGTAAATAATTGTGATTAATAATATATTTTAAATACTCAAATTTTAGGTATAAATATTTTACCACATATTATCCAATTAATATTCCAATTTAGATGATTCTCTAAGTCTAACCTCTTACTTTCAAGGTCCATCTGTGAACCTCCCTGTTCAAGGTAAATAATTGTGATTTATAAATTATTTTAAATACTCAAATTTTTATTTCTTTACACAGACTCTGATTGCCCTAAGAAAAGATATATATCGATATCAACACAAAGTGATTTTTATAGCTAAATATTTCATATAAATATATTTTAGCTGACAATACTCTATTAATGGATGCCTCTACACAGACAAATATATCATTATTTTCACCAAGTATAAAAAATTAAAAACTTAATTACTGAATCATGTGTATTTATATTATAGCATCAAATGTATGCACTGCAGAATGCTAAAGTAAAATATCAAATATATATTTACAATAATTTTTTAAAGCTTTTAATCTACAAGTTTTGGACATCACAAACAGTCCAAGTAAATTTCAATTATATATTTGTGCTATCTATTTTTTAACAAAGTTATGAACCCAGAGGTCTTGGAAGAAATAGATGCCCATGACAGAATTATCAATAGTCCAAGTAAATTTTTATTATATATTTGTGATATCCATTTTTTAACAAAGTTATGAACCGAGTGGTCTTGGAGGAAATAGATGCCTATAATGGTACCACTAGTCCAAGTAAATAGTATCTTATAGATATTTATATCATTTTTAAACATAGCTATCATTCAAAACAATCATAGTTTCATAAAATCCAAAAATAACAAAAACATGATATATTATAACAAATATTTATACGTTCATGATTTCGGCGACCTATATTACAAATGCAGAAAGAATAATTGTAAGGGTAGGGGTAAATTTGGGTCACATTTTACTGTGACCCAAACACATAACCACCTGGATGATGAAGAATATTACAATCTTCTTGTCACAATAAATAAACTAAAAGACCAAATAAATATAGACACTAATTTGAGTATTTTAAAGATTTATCAAAAAGTCATGCGGAGTAGATAATTGGATTTATATTGTATAAATCACCCAACGACTTTGCCAACTTTTTTGGCGGTCAAATCTATAATGGGTCGAGTTGTTTAGTCAACTAGACCTCCATTCCCTCTAAATAACTCAAGTATTATTTTACGTGAGGACTTATGTAATCTTATTATAATAATCGAAATAAAAATATATTATTTTTAATATTTTTGGTATATTATATATTTAAAATTTTCTATGACATAAATAATAAATAAATCCCTAAAAATATTATAAATACTTTATGTTCATTTTTAAATAAGTTCAATTTTCTGACCAGGTAAAAGCGTGCCACTTAAATTTTAGAAAAAGTTTTAAAAGTCAGACTTTTGAATAGTTAGGAAAGAGGACAAAGATATGATATAGTTAAGAAAATCAACTATCTTAATATGTGTTATATATTAATGTAACAATATTGGATAATAGGGTAGGTATATAGATTAATTAAACATTTACAGAAAAATACATTTTTGAACTAATATTACCTCAAGATAAAACTTTAAATATAAGCATAAAAAAATTTAATTTTATGATAAATAATTTATGTATTAACCCACAAAATTACTTATGATAAAATTCAATATTTATATAGTTTCAAAGCAGTGACGAAGCGTCAAATTCACTACTATGGAAGCAATAGAATTTTTATTTTAAGTCAAACCATAAAAAGATTAAAATATATAAATAAGTATAATTCGTCTTTTGAAAAATTTGATTATCTTATAAATTAATGAATTTATTTTAAATACTCTTTTGCAAATTAATATTTCAACTCCCAATAAAAATACTAGTCTCCCTTCATCTATGCTAAGAATGGGCTAATACTAATATTAAAATACCTGATTATTATAATCAACTCATCATTAAATATTCATTCTTATTATATGTATGTTATGTTCTTCACAAATAAATAATAAAAACTGTATTTTACAAACTATTCTAATTTAATTGGTAATGATAATTTAGAAGTATCTTGTATTTAAGATACTCTAATTAGGCAGAAGATACAAGTATCTTTTATCTTGTATCTTTTTGATATTTTGAAAAAGATATTAGTATCTATATCTAAGATTCATTTTTTCACAAAGAATCTGTATCTGTATCTAGATTCTTTTTCCGGATGACCTGCCCAACTCTGGGTATTGTTTATAATTAATAGGCGTCATGTCTAAGCAAGGATTTATAAATTCCTTTGCATGATAAGAATATCCTTCACAATCTTGAACTGATATCTATAGATAATGGGAAAAAAATGATATTTTTCTATATATGAGTTTTAATATTATATATATATTTTTTTATTATATTAGTCTTAATATTTTTATAATATATATTTATTTAAATTATATGCTCATACATATAACATAAAATTTGCATCTAAATATTTTTATTTTTTAGATAAAAAGGCGTTAAATAAAAGTATATCAAAATGTATCTTAAAAAGTATCTATAAACAGATACCTCTGAAATAGTATATAGATGCATATACTTTTTATACAACTCTGATAATCATAATAAATTTTCAATAACATAATTACAATTATTAAACATTAATTAAGTAAGGAAAAAAAATATAATAAAAAAAATAAGCATTTTTTTATTTTGCTTCGTCACTGATTCAAAGATATATTTATAGTATAATCGTGCTGTCTGTTATATATTAATAGATCTAGAAGAGTTTTCTAAAATATTGTAAATTATCTGCAATTTATAATATATTATCTTAATTAATTAAATTTTTTAATATATTCTTTTCTATTATTAATATAAAATATGATCATATATTTTATATACAATTATTATAATATTAATTGTATATAATCTATATTAATTACCATTTAGCAATTTATATTTATATTTAATTTTATTTAAAATAAAAAGTATATTTTAATTTATTTGTCTAATCTGTTACATCATTTCAAAATTATACAAATATTATAATCGCTTCAAAGATTAAAAATTATAAACATTTAAAAAAATTTTCTTATAAATTTAAATAACATTAATAATTATAAACATTAAAACAAATTTTTCTTATAAATTTAAATTCAAAAAGACAATTTTTAAGTTCACCTTCTTGGTTATTAAATTATTATTTGATTCTTTTCTTTTAATTTCCTAATTGTGTCAATACACCTTTGATATCAACCAGTGCACCGTTATAGAGAAATGGCACCCATAAACTCGGAACACACAGTTTATGGTAAGTTATGGATTGCGTCTCTAAATATTAACGGAATGAAAAATAAACTAACAGTACTGCTTAGAGATTTTGCATATATGAAATTAGATATAATTGGCATCCAAGAAACCCACTGCCCAGGGAATAATACTGCGGTTTTTAGTTTTTTTCTGGTACCACCTCTAATAGCTGGTCAGGAATCGCATTCCTAGCAAACAAAAAGATAGGAAAATCAATTATTAAATTTGTACCCATATCAGAAAGATGCGGCCTCCTATATCTAAACACAAAATTCAAACCGACAATAATTGTAAACATATATGCCCCTCCAAGAAGAAATGAAAGGTTAAATTTTATTGACACAGTCACTACCTTGATTGATTCCCTGCCTTTGAGATATAACATTATAATACTAGGAGACCTCAATCTGAAGATTGGCAAAAGCGTAGAATATATTAATACCAATACTATCGGTAACGCAACTATACAACAAACCAACAATGAAGATAGTAAAAAATTACTTGATTATTGTAAAAACAAAAACTTCAAAATAGAAAATACCTTCTTTCTCCATCGAGAAATAAACGCATACACCATCGTAAGAGCAAACCAAAAATCTCAAATCGATTTCATTATATCAAATATTCATGGGTGGTTTGATGATGTGATAGTGTCCACTATTATTAAATTGTCAGATCACAGAGCGTTAGTAGCAAAAATGACAATAAAAAATATATGGGGATATCGCGAAGAGATAGACCCAAATATGACAAGAATAAACTTCTTAAAACCTCTCCCAAACCGTAAACAAATAAAAGTAAAATCACAAGAGGATATACAACATTTTGATCGAATACTGGTCAGGAAGAGAGAAAATTTCCTAAATATAACCTCAAATGGGACTGTAGATATATGTTGGAATCTTTTCAAGAAGGATATAACTGAATCCTATAACATGTTACCAAATATAAATGTATACTTAAGGAGAGAGTGGTTATCAAATGAAACTGTAGGAAAAATCAGCCAGCTTAGAGAAGGCAATAACTTGAACAGAGAACTATGGAAAGAGATACAGAAATTGCTGAGAAGTGATAGAAGGAAATTTGTGGCAAAAAAAGCGTTTGAAATAGAGAAAGATATGAATGAAAACAGAATATATGAAGTTTATAATAAACTAAAATATTTCTGCAAACCCTACAGTTTCAAGAAGCTACCTTCTTTAGTCTTAGCAAATGAAAATGTAATTTCGGACCAGGATGAACAAATAGCATTATGGTTAGATCACTATATGTCAGTCTTTGATTCAAGAAAAGCCGTCTGCCAGATAAACACAAATGAGCATGAAACTCCACCCCCATCCGGTTTCTCCACTGAGGAAATCGAAAAAGTAATTAAAAAATTACGTAATAATAAAGCCCCTGGGCTTGATAATATAACAGCGGAACATCTAAAAACAGCACCCAAAACTGTATCCTCCTTCCTGTTATCTCTATATAACAAAATCTGGGATAGTGGAAAAACCCCTGTAGAATGGAATAAGTCCTATTTATGCAATTTTCCCAAATAAATGATCCAAGAGAGTTTAAAGACTATCGTGCAGTAGCCCTCACATCTACAGTGTCTAAGATTTTCATGGTCCTTTTAAAACAGGATCATGTCTTCAATCACACTTAATACCCTAATACATCTGCGCTTGTAGACCAAATAAAAATATTCTAGAGCCAATTTTAGCGTTAAAAATAACAATACAAAAAATGTTACAAATATAAAATCCCTGCCTTCTTCACTTTTATAGATTTTAGTAGAGCATTCGATACTGTGAATCACGAGGCCCTATGGAGGACACTCTTAGAAAGTGGGATCGAACCCAATATTATCTACATTCTGAGCAACCATTACTCTAAGCTATCTGCCTGCTTTAAAGTAAACAATAAAATATCCCCCACCTTCAGAATAAAAAAAGGTGTGAAACAAGGATGCACTCTATCACCATTACTGTTTAATATCATTATCAGTAAAATTATAAAAGAGGTCCTAGATTGCGCAAATATAAGAGAAATAAGCTCAAACTCAACAATACGTTTAGAAAACAAAATAATATCCTATTCCGATGACATAGTCATCATATCGACTAGCTCTGAAGAAACGAAAGATATGTTATATTTATTAGGAACCCTTAGCCTAAGAATGGGGTTAAAAATAAATTTCAAAAAACTCGTATTCTTTCTTCTCCAAACGAAACTCAAAATCTAAATTTCACAATCGATGGGAATGAAATCAAAATAGTTGACAAAATAAAATATCTAGGCGTCATGTTTGACAACAGAGGAGGTTATAAAGAAGAGCTGAAAATAAGAATACAAAAAGCAAGAGGAGCCTTTTATAAATACATGAAAATATGGAAAACAAAAGAAATATCTGTACACACCAGACTGAGAATTTTTAATTCCACAGTTATTCCAATATTGCTATATGGAGGATATATATGGGAATTGAACAAAACGGAGAAAAGGAAATTACAATCATTCATAAATAACTGCCTCCGAATCATTAACAGAATCTTCTACCTGAGAGTAATATCCAACAATAATCTATGAAAGGTATCAAAACACACCCCGATTAACATCACCTTAAAAAACGGCGCATTCAATTCCTCGCCCACATCATAAGAAACTCAGAACATAATCTAGTTCATGATGCAATTTAATGGCTATACACTTATAAAAAAAAAAGAATACACTAAATATAAATCACTATGGTACTATAAAACAATAAAAGATATTATGGAACTTAACTTAAACATGAAGCAATTCATCAAACTATATAATTGCAAAAACTCTATCAAAAAATTCCATATTAAGAATAGATATCTTAAATAAATCATTTCTTATTTCTAAACCACTGTGTTGATACTAGATCAGGACAAACTAAAACTCAATCGGTATGTACTTTATATTTTAAATGTTTGTTTTTGAAACAATATATGCCAGAACAGAAATTTTTTTTATAAACCTAAAATCAGCCACAACCCACCCTTAAAGTAATTAACTTATGCAGCAGTTCATGGGCATAGGCTCTTCATCTCTGCCCCGCTCTTTCTCTTGAACCCTATGGACGCCAAAGTGCGTACAAGTACGTGCGGCTTGCCCACAAACGTGTAGAGGGCTCCTCATATTTTTTACTTTTGTACCCAAATTAAATTCGTTTTTCCAATTAGATGGAAGTGAGGAATACCTAGCGTAGCTCTGTTGTTAACTCAACGTTTAGAGGGCATATGCGCTATATTTCACGTATCACGTAATCGCTTCAAATATATTTGTGGCCATTTTAGGTCATTTGACGTTTTTTCATAAATGTTCATACGATCTAGTGGACCCTAACCAATACGCTTCAAATATATATGTGGCCATTTTAGGTCATTTTACTTTTTTTCATAAATGTTCATACGAAATGGTGAACCCTAACCAAAATTTTGATATTTTTGATATTCAAAACCATTATTTATTGCATCATTTTTTTTAGAGTTGAAATTAATTTTTTTTTTTTGTGTCGTCTGTAAATGACTTTTCAGGGCAATTTTCCTCATTTTTAAAAACGTAAATTTTATATTTAAAAAAATATGTAAATTTAGAAATTATTTTTAAATTATTATTTAAATTATTATTTAAATATTATAGTGAAGGAGTGGGGGACATCGTAGCGTAAACCAATAATACTGAAATATAGGCATAACTCTTTCGATAAATACAAATCAAATCCAATGTTCCTTATGGTAAGTAATTTATATATATTTTTTATTTTCCGTTCCTAGGTTACTTTATTTGAATATTTACTGATATAATATGTTATCAAAAATGTAATAAGCATATAAGTAATTTTTTTTTTTAAAGATTAATTATAATAAAGGTTGAAAAATGTAGAAATAGAGTTTACGGGATAGCATGGGGGATAAAAAAAGAAAGCTAGGAATATGGAAGGTTATTCAATGGAAGAGATAAAACTTAGATAGTTAGAGCGAAGGCGGTAGCAAGTCTTTGACGTAAGAAGAGGGATTCCTTAGGCTGATCGGTTTTTTCGCGAATCCGTTCGCCTAATTCTTTAAAAAAAACGTTGAGCTTTGCTACCGAAGGTGGTGAGAAGGCGATAGATATGAATAAAAAAAAGGTTCTAAGGAACTGTACTTGATAATTTTTCGAGATTTTGGGAGTGCGAGGGCATCGACGTTGTGATTAGATGATGCTTGGGTCAAGTATAGTATTTAAAACACTTATAAATTTTTTTTTAAAAAAAAACAGATGTTCCTTGTTTTAACTTTAATCTGTTCGTCGATAACGCAATGCAGAATACTTAATGGTAACATATACTATATCTAATTAATATTTTTATCGGTTAATAATCTCACGTCTCTAATTCACCCAACCAATTTAGCCAAAACACTGTTTTTTTGCTTTAACTTTTTATTTAGTCCTAAATCTATTTTTGAAGTAACTATCCAGTAAATTAATTTAGGACAGAAATTATTTAGTGTCAGGCCTACGTTCATGGTGAGCTTTAATACTAAAAAAAATATTGGCAAGCAAGACACAAATTTAGAAAATATTATTATATTTCCTTAGATATAGAATTAGTATACCTCCTTCATTTTGATGAAGAAAATTGAATATTATAATTTTTAAAGAAATCATGGAAAAACAATTTTTTTTCCAAATTTTAAGCGCCTTAATTCAAAAAATAGCCCTAATTCTATCTATTAAATAAATTTAAGACTTATAAAAGTTATTATATTTAATTTAATATAATCAGTTGAAAGTAGAGAAAGTAAATATTTTTGTCTCCAATTTTCTCAAATTATATTATTTTTGGAAGATTTAGAAGTTCAATCTAGCGATCATCGACAATCAACTGTATCTAGTAAAAAAAAAAATTGATATATTTTTGCATAAAAATCCTGATTTTTACAATATACATTTGACATATTATCCTTCCACAAAAATTCATGAACTATTTTCAAAAAATTTACTATAATATCTTAGAAAAAAATTCCATGCCACTCATTCCAGCACTTAAAAGTAAACGAAAAATATACATTGTAAAACTTACGGGAACTTTAAATTTATTATATTTGAACTAATAATCTATTACTTTCTTTAAAATTCTAACCCCAACATGGTTAAAATTTAGGTAAACCAGGGGTTGTTATATACATTTATTTTTTCAAAAGTATAAATAGTTTGTATAGAAAAATTAAATAAATATTCATAATATGTAAGTCCTTTATATAAGAGTTTTAAACAAAATTGTATCTGTATCTATATAACTTTTTGTACGATGTATCTGTATTTGTATCTAGATCCATTTTAACATCTCTGGCGAATACACCACACTCCATGGAAAATATGGTTAGATAAAATTTCTCAAGAAAAAAATTTTTGCTTTTAATTTATTTTTAAAATTTGACCAAACACTCCCCTTAATTTTCTACCTCCATTTCTATAAAATCATCTCAACAAATTCATTATTTTCTATACGATAAAGCATGTAAAAAAACTAATATCCATTTAGATCTTCCAGGGATCCTTAGAACCTTAAGTTCCAGATGCTCTCGTCTGGGTACTGTTGTAAAACGACTCGTGAGCCGATTTTTAAAAAAGCTAACTCAATATTTTAGGCTTGCGTAATATTCATCTGGATAAAATATTGAGTTAGCGTTTTACAACACTACTTCGTATGATCTAAAAATAAAATCACTATAGAATATTTTGGTTCTACAAACTAATCCCTAGAAATATTAACAAAAAAAACAGGAAATACATATAGTTAAAAAATACATAAATTGGATACCTCTTCCCCCCCTTCTTCCTCACAACGATCTAGCTGTTGGTTGACACAAGTATTAGTATTTATAACTTACTAATCATTAAAATTTATAAATTCTATAAAAAAAATTTAAAAAAATAAACGTAGATTCTGACAATGTTAGACAAGCTGGATGGACGTCTTGGGGTCCGTTACGTAGACATGGTTAACAATTGTTATATTTTATATGGTGAATTCCATGACAAATTAACATGAGCTTCAACGACCCTCTCAAATTTTTCTAAATTTTTTTACTAAAGTTGCGACGGAGATTACGGGTGTCTAATGGTCAAAAAATGGAGCATTTTGGGCTGAATATTTTCTTTATATAGCCTAATGGTAAGTTTTTTAAAAATATACAATGCTAAATATTGTTTAAAAAAAATTTAACTGTCAAAAACCGGAAATAGTCATAATCGGTATTTTTTTTCCCCTCTCTACAGAATTTAATAAGTGTGCAAATTTTTATTGGTTCGAGCAACAGGCATAGGATATATGGCATTTTAATCATTAGTCAATTGTAAAAATTTTATAAATAAATATTTGATGAATCTTTATGGGTAATATATTTTAGCTAAAATCTTATATTTTTATATATTTAAATCAACCTGAAGAGATATCATTTACATAGCCCCGGCTTTGAATTTCAAAATAAAGTATTCGGCCCGGCCCAGGAAATATATTTTAAAAAATTAAAGTAAGGCACGGCTT